TCATCTCCGTCCATCCTTTTTAAAACTCTATGGCTCCCCGAATCCCTGAAGTGATACGTCAAGTTTCGGGCCTCCTCTTTGACCTAGGTTATCCTGGAAACCTCACATTCCTTCTAAAGGGAAATTTGTCACAGCGGCGAACCTTTTAAAAACCCCTTTTGCTCATTTTTCAGGGGGAGCTGATCGTCGAACCCTCCTTCGCCTCTTTCCACCCTCATTTTTCGAAACTTGTTTATGGTGACCAGATCTTCAGCGGCATCTCCTGCTACCTCTCTAGCCTAACCCCATTTCATACCAAGGATTAGGTTATCCCTTGGTGCTTTTCGCTTTCCCTTTTGGGGAAGCCTTTATGCAAAGCAAATTTTCCCCTTATCCATCGCCATAAACCCCCCCATTCCCTTTCGCTACTATGTATGCCTCATAAAACTCCGCAATCTTTTTTTTATAGAATGGTCACTAAAATTTTAGTGACTTTCTTTATTTGTTCGCCCCCCCCTGTTTACTCCGTCCCCTTTCTCTTCCCCTTTAAATTCGCTCTTGTCTTCTTTTTCAATTACCACCTTTCTTTTCATTAGCATCTCACTTTTCCCCTACCCCCCTGGGAAGCCCAGCTTCGAGTTTTTTCTTTCTCCTTGCTGAAAGCCCAATGTCTAGGTCGCTTCCCCGCTCTTTTTTTTCTTGACCACTTCCACTCTTTTTCCATCCATTGCTGTGTACACAATGGCCAATTTTTGATGGCGGGGAATTCGCAGCAGTGTTTCCGGAAAAGCGCAAAGTGGGCTTTTTCTATCTTCGGCTAGTATTTTTACGCTAATTGTATCCATCCTTCAGCATTCCCCTATTGCTCTATCCTGTGCTCTTTTGTGGTTGTCTCAACTCCCTTTGGTTTACAGGCTATACAGAAATTTGATACACCTACCCCCCTTAGTCCCCCGTACCAACTTTGGCTAGTGCATCTTTACCAAGCATAAAGATATTGTTTTTTTGTTGGGCCCCGGGCATTTTTCGTACAGGGCAATGAACGGCAGACCTGCGCGCGGTCCATACATGCCCTACCGTTTCATATAGAGGTTTTCCCATTTGGGACTATTTTCTGCAATATCTTCCCCCCTTCACACCCTTGGCAACAACGTTGGTCTACTAGCTCGGCAACAAATTTCAATCTTTTAAAAACCAGAAAAGGTTAAAGGCCGTCTTCTTATCACCAGTGTCGAAGTCGGGGAAACTTCCCCCCGTTTTCGATTGGCCATACTCGTCTTACTAAAGGAAATTCTCAGGGAGGCCCCTTCTCCTCTCTGTGAGAATTGCCAAGCTCCTTATCAGTCAGCCACATTCGTGGACGCCCACTTTATCAACGAGCACGCAAATTTACCTCCATCGTCCTTGGGCTCCGCTGCTCTCTCTTTACCTTCCCTTCTCCTGAGGGGACCCACCTTTCATCCGGACTCTCTCATTACTTTTGACAACAATTTATTTTAAAAATTTCGAAACCTTTCACCCTTTTCTACTTTAATCTCTTGTACCCTTCCCCCCCGCATACCCCCTGCCCCGCTGTTTTCTGTAACCAACGGGATCACCCCTCCTCCCTTCTCACCCAATCCCCCTCGCTCCACCTACCCGCAGGCTGATAGCCCTTTTGGGGTTTTGCGCTTCTTTTTGATTATAATAAAATAATCCCCCAAATTTTCTCTTGACCCCTAGCAACTGAGCAACCTCCATTCTCAGATCAAACCTGATTGCCTTCAATTTTTTTTGGTTGAATGCATCCCCCGTGAGTATAAGACCGTATGATGAGTTCAAAAGAACATATGCACTTGCTTTTCACACATTGATATTAAATACCGGAATACTGTTCCATTAAGGCTGCGGCATGGAAACTTAGACATGTAATATGGTAAGAGAGATTAAACTTTTTATAAAAAAAATGCTTTTTGATCTCATACCATCGGGAGATGGTTGATACTGGGGAGGCTATTGAACCCCGGAACAGGGCTTCCTTAAATAAACCCGAATGCCACCCTTAACAGTCTGTTTAGTGCTTTCCCTGATTAAAAAATGTTCACAAAAAAAAAAAAAATTCTGGATCACAAAATTGGCCCCCGTTCTTCTCTTAGGAACACATGACCCATATAGATTTAGCGCTCAGGTTATAATAAGAAAAAACACTAAAGTATAGGAAGCTTTTACAAGTGCATTGCAGATCCCTAAGCAACAAAACACCAGACTGTATACAAGGGTATACCATTAAACCAGTACATGAGTCTGATGCTGGTTTTTTTGTGTCCTGTATCAAGGGACCTCCTTTTAAAACCCCCCTTGCTGAAAATCCCCCGGTTTTGCGTTACCCCTTGATTATAATAATTAAAAACCCCCCCCACCAGCCGATGATGAGCCTTGATGCGGTGAGGGGCTCTTAATCCCAAAGGAAATAGGTCCACCCCCTTGGACAAAAATTTAATGTTATCGTATTTCTTGATGCCATAGACTCCCCATGGGTTTGTGCTTCCCTGAATAAAGGAGAGGTGCCCGCCTATGTTGGTTGCACAATTTTGATTGATTGTAGGCTGTTGACACATCTTGTTTTCAAATTTAAATTTTTATCTTTTTTTTTGGGGGTCGGGGCCCCATAACTTTACCTGCTTTTGCAGAATCTTAATTTTTTTAAAAACTATTCATTGTTTTTTTTAAAATGACAAATAAAGCACTTAAAAGGTACGACAGCATTTTTGGAATTAAAGAAGATTAAAAACCCGGTTTTTTAATTTCAGCCCTGGAGTTAGACCAGAATTACCCTCTAGAACAAAAAAGGAAAATGCGACACACAGCCAGGAGCTTTGACTCAACCTCAACCACAAAAAGGTAGTCACACATGCCACAATTGGAAATTGGGGGGCAGCGGGAGGCGGACCAACAAGCTTTAGAAGAGATATGATAAAACTCAGGAGCAGGGAGGAGCGGGGGCCCAGCAGGACGAGGGGAAGAGGGGGCCAGGAGCTAAAATAACCCCCGCAACCACAAATAGTTAAGTAATATTTCCCCAGTTACTCTGTTAAAATAATTAAATTTTTCCACAAATTCTATGTTTATTCAAAAAATAGTGGACAATAAATATTTGGAATTTTTGATGGTATTACGATATATAAAGAATATACTGGAAACTGGGACATATATATTTATATTATATATTTATATATATATATATTTTTTATATTTATAAATAAAATAAATTATATTATATTATATTTTTATATATATTTTATAAAATTTTCTGAGATACATGGGAAAGGCAGACAGTAAATTACATAGACGTTCACACTGAGGTTATTTGCTAAGAATGACCATTTATTTCTCCCTAGCATTAAAGACTATCATGTATTAACTAGAAGTTTGAGTCAAGGCTAGTAAAGCAAAATGCTCTTTCCCAACCTCCACCCTGGCATGAAACAGGCAGGGAGGGGGGTGGGATATATCATATGAAAAAAAAAGACTTGGAATTTACAGGAGATGGAAGTGGATGGAAGATAAATTACATCTTGGTACCGTTCCTATCGTAAATAATTACATTATTGCACTAACTACCATTGACAGAGCTGTGAGTGGCAGTGGAACATTTACTGTCTTCAAGTTCATATTAGTGGGTAGTTAGTTTGTTCCATTCTGTAATTGTTTGCTTCAGAACCCTCACACAGGTTTTACATTGCATCTCTTGCCTCAAGGTTTCATTCTGTTGTTTCCATTTAATGATTCATTTAGAACTTCAAACAGTTCTCCACGTCTGTGTCAAAACCATTCGGTATCGTGGTTACTTTGGCTTGCAGATGATTAGCATGGCTTGCAGATGATTAGCATGGCTTGCAGGTGATTAGCATGGCTTGCAGGTGATTAGTATGGCTTGCAGATAGCATGGCATGCAGGTGGTTAGTGATGTGAGTCAGGTGGGTTGTTTGCTGAAAGAAATGAAAATAATGAATATTTGTGACTACATAAAAGTTGAATTTTCTCAGACGTGATATAAACATTGTATACACTGCACAAAACAAGCCGCTAGGAACAGGACTATCAGCTCAAAGCCTTTCGCACTGTTTCCAGTGCTTCGTCAGGAGCTTTGCAGTTTAAAATGTGGGTTATTTTCCAATTAATGGTCCCTTGTTTGCAATTGTATGCAAATATTAGATATATAAAACAGCAGCAGTACCTGTCAATAGTATGTAATATGTTGGTAGACTAAAGGATGCTGACTTGTTTTGGGTTATCCTAGGTAATTTAAACTATGTATGATAATTGTACTTATGTGTACCTGTGCCTAAATAAACTTACCCATACTCTACCAATAAATGTAGTGCAGAGCAGTTGTGCGTTACAGACACCTAAAGTCAGCACCTGATCAGCCGGGCTGTGGTTCACACGTCAGTTTACATGTGGCCAGCAGTAACAGCCTGGTTGATCAGACCTTGATCCACCACGAGGCCTGGTCTCTGACCGGGCCGTGGGGGCGTTGGCCCCCAAAACCCTCTCCAAGTAAACTCCAGGTTTGTTACTATGTATGCTCTGTGTAACTGTATTTATGTGTACTTGTACTTAAACTATCCTGTCAGACACAGGAGCATCTTGGGATCTTAATACAGGGAATTCTTCACTTGCATAACCTATAGTCATGACCTACTTCCATCTGGATTTGTCCAAGGTGACGCCGCCTGCGACTGCTTCACCTCACCTGTCTGCAGTATAAGCTACTTTTTCGTGCATATGCTGTGTTCTTATCAAGGTGATGGACTGATTACATCGACTCCAGGCTGAGGGGACTGATTACCTCAGACTCCTTCTAATCTGATTTTGGAGCCACTGTGTGGTGAAATTTTTCCACAATAAAGATACCTAAGTGTTGCACATGTGTCTAATTTATCCACTAAATAAACTCGCTTCAGCCGCATCACTACGATTCAACCCCCTCCCCCCTCCACACACACAAAACTCACAACATACCTGCTATATATTATATATATATATATATATATATATTCTCAGGTGAGTTGCCATCACTCTGAAGTTTGTCTGTAATACCTTCCCCTGAATCTTCTGAAGCCAGGTCTCCTCCTCCTGAAGGGGCGACGACGAGGCAGGAGGAAAGAGTCGTCGTAGTAGTCCAGCTGTGAGTACGGGTCCAGCACCTGCGGGTTACCCTTAGTTAGAGTACTGATATCCTAAGTTTGAGTACAGATATCCTAAGTTTGAGTACAGTTATCGTAAGAGTACAGTTATCCTAAGATAGAGTACAGTTATCCTAAGATTGAGTACAATCATCCTAAGTTTGAGTATAATTATTCTAAGTTTGAGTAATAAACTGGAGAATGAATGAAACAGTTTTCATGGGAACTGTTCAACAGGATATATAACCGAGGTGTATACCCTGAGGGATGCATACCCTGAAGGATGTATACCCTGAGGGATGTATGTTTACCACTGGACATGCACTGGGAGGTGTATATCTTTCCATGGAGCTGAACTCTTCTCCAGGCTGAGGGACTGACCATCTCAAATAGTTTTTCTCCGTGGATAATGAACTGATTACATCATCTATATTGCACTACTACTGCTGCCTCTGTATTTGACTGAAGAATCCTACTGTGTAGGCGAAACGTTTCTTAATGTATCTTAATCATCAACTTGGTATTTTATACCATTTCCAACATAGTTTAACTTCAGACCCGGAAGTTTCTGTATACAACTAGGTTGTGTTGTGACTAATTTACGTGTTGTGTCTAACTTACAAAGGAGATTATAAGAAGTCCCTCATGAAAGATTAACACGGAAATTACAAATTATCGCAGACGTAGAAGATTAACTCGTCGATGAGAGTTTTTATGTTAAGTGAACGATGCTGGAGCTGTTACCAGTGGAGTCCCACAAGGATCAGTACTGACCTCACTTATCTTGCAAATTTGCATATATCGCCAGTTTGAGATTAGTGAGAAATTAAACGAGGTTCCTGTTTAAGGGATGCAGGTAAACTCTACATACAGTTTTAAGAGTCGTCAGAGAAGTCATCAGTAACTCCCAGTAAAGTCAGCAGCATTCTGCGACCTCTTCACCACAGAGTGCTAATGAGGCTAGAACCAGCAATGCTGTTAGCTAAATTTAAGAGGTGGGGGTAGGAGCCAACACCGGGTCCCCCTTCCCTACAGATATAAATCGGTTAAGAAAGGTTCGTCAGGAAACAAGACAAGTGTTTCCTGACGCGGGTTTTAGATGACGACCTGCCGTTGGAGCTTTTGTTCATCTGACCGAGGCCTTACCCTGGCTTACCGGTCCACCCCTTTAAAAATTATGGTCATAGTTATATCCATTGTTATAAATCGGTTAAAAATCGAAACATTAAGGGACTGTCTTATTTCCACTGGCGTCCTTAATCTTGTCCTCCAGGATGCGACCCATACCAGTCGACTAACACCCAGGTACCTACTTGCTTGCTAGGTGAACTGAGACAACAGGTGTAAGGAAACACGCCCAATGTTTCCACCCTTGCCGGGAATTGAACCACGGACACTCAGCGTGTGAAGCGAGAGCGTCACCTACCAGGCCACGGGCCATTGTGGCCTGGTAGTTCATGGGAAAGATAGCAAAGGGCTTGGAAGACCAGACCGAGGATATCTATCGAGAAGAACTATCTTCTGCGTAGACTGAGAACTATCAAATATCATCAAGGTGAGTCAAAAAATGAAATGGCAGAAGGTATTTTAAGGCAGAATATAGGAAAAAAACATGTGTTGGTACTCACCCTATGTGGTAGTGTGGGAGGGCCATACACTGGTACCGGCTCACTTACACCATAAGTCTTCTGTACTGAACTGTAGTCTGAAACCGAGGGCTGGTAGCCCCCAAGACTACCAGAAACAGCAGGGGGATTGTAGCTGTACCCCTGTGGCTCCTTGTAAGTAGTCGCAGGTGCCTTATATTCGGATTCTGGCTCTTTATAAGTTGTCGAAGGTGCCTTATATGTAGAGTCTGGCTCCTTATAAGTAGTTGAAGGTGCTTTATATGTAGATTCTGGCTCCTTATAAATTGTCGATGGTGCCTTATATTCAGACTCTGGCTCCTTATAAGTTGTCGAAGGTGCCTTATATGTAGAGTCTGGCTCCTTGTAAGTAGTTGCAGGTGCCTTATATGTAGATTCTGGCTCCTTATAAGTAGTCGCAGGTGCCTTATATTCAGACTCTGGCTCCTTATAAGTTGTTGAAGGTGCCTTATATGTAGAGTCTGGCTCCTTGTAAGTAGTTGAAGGTGCCTTATATGTAGATTCTGGCTCCTTATAAATTGTCGACGGTGCCTTATATGTAGATTCTGGCTCCTTATAACTAGTAGAAGGTGCCTTATATGTGGAATCTGGTTCTTTATAAAGTGTCGAAGGTGCCTTATATGTAGATTCTGGCTCCTTATAAGTAGTAGAAGGTGCCTTATATGTGGAATCTGGTTCTTTATAAAGTGTCGCAGGTGGCTTATATTCAGATTCTGGCTCCTTATAAAATAGTAAAGGGGGCCTTAAAATTTGGGAATCTGGCTCCTTAAAAGTGTCTGGTGCTTTAAAATTTTTTCTGGCTCCTCTAGGTTGTTGTGGGGCCTGATATGTGGGCTCAGGAGCCCTAACTTTGTTTTAGTGGGGATAGCCCTTACTGCCCGAATTAGCCTCAG